ACATGATGCGATAATAAATGATTTACCGAGAACCAATAACCATGTATAATAAACGTTTAGAAAGTGTATTTCCTGTTCATCCACATATTTATGAATTTATTGATCTATTACGTCGAGAATATGTCTTCCAGTACGACGACCAAAAAACTGATAGTGCCATTAGATTCAGCATCCTCGAAAACCTCTAAGAACCAGCTCCCAGTAACGTAGCTTCAATATTACAGAAGATAGCGAAAGTAAAAAATCGTCTCATTGAGAGAGAGGAATTAGAGACGAATCGAGAGGACACGAAACGAATATTCAACATTTTCTTATATTCTTTAAAAATAAAAAAAAGGAAAAATTTGATTGTTTCGCTTTCGCAGAAGAAAGTCTAATAGTGTCGAAAGCAACGCTATTGGACTTTTTTTGTTCAAAAGTATTAGAAGAATTTTTCTGCTTTAAGATAAAACAAATTGAGCTCAAAATGTTTGATTTTCGCTAAGCTATAAAAAATTTCCTTTGAAATGATAAACTCTGAAAATATCGCAAAAAAGAAAAGAATTCTTTCTCAACCGCTGTTAATTACGACGAGCTTTAAATTTAACCAGTTGATAGAGCTTCTGACCGCTAGAAAATAGCTGTCGTCTCATCTTTTATATCGTAAGATAAAAGGCAGTAACGTTGACAAGAGTGTTTTTTTGGTTGGAAAGCAATACAATAGAGATTGAAGCTTCTCAGTATTCCCTCCATATCTTTTTATTTTTAGAATATATAAAAAAATGTTCAGTATGTGTTTTCTAAGGAATCAAATAGCGCATCTTTTAAAAGGAAAATTAAGTTTCTAATAGAAAAGGCGAAAACGTTATAGTCAAAATACTGTGTGGCTCATTATTTCTGGATCACTCGTTAGTAATACGTTGTCAGCGTACAAACCAGGGTCTTTAGGTCAATGACCTTTGATAACTCTCACTTTCCGTGAATAAGACAGTCTTAGTCTTAGTCTTATCATACAGTTTAAGTATACCAGTGACACGCTTTTAATGTAATGATGATACACTTATTGGTCCTAAAGTGTGCCCGTAGAACACTTTCTGACAAAACGTGGAAGCGAATCATAAAAAAAAGCACACTTAAGTGTTTTTTTTGTTACTCGAACGTGCAAGAAGCACGGAAAAAGTGTGTTGTTTCACCCGTATCGGAGAATGAAGGTTGGACTTCTAATGCACGCTTTTTCCATGATATTTGAAAATTTTTACCGTGCTTTTCCATGACAGTGTAGGGATTGAATAAATGAATTCTGCAAACCATTCTTATCGTTCTTTTTATCTCTTTTTCATTATAAACCAGGTAGAGAACGAGAATATAATAACCCAGCCATAATTACAGGGATAAGCGAGCACTGAGCTTACACCAAACTTTTGCTCAATCAAATCACTATAACTATTTGAAATCACTTATTTTCGAGCAGCTTTCTATGTATGTCTGCCATGTAATGTGTGTCAGAGGGAGTAGTACATAGCACTAAACACTAAAATCCGATTGGTTAAAATCCGCATTATAGTCGACTGCCATCTGACAAGTACTACATTTATAATTAGCCTTAGAGCGGTATCGCTATATAGCATTGACAGATTTTCACGAGTAATTTGTAATACTTTGTCTCCTCTGAATATCTGAAGTGTTGCACCAGTTTCTAAATAATATAAAGCAATTTTGAAGATTATCGTTTAATTTGACTTGCAAAAAGGCTGCAGACTGGTTTTGGATTGGTATATAACTCTGAAACACAAATGCGGTAACAATGGAGAAAAAGTAAACATTCGCCCGCGCATCTTATTTGTAGACGTCTGCACTAACTGAACATGCGCATGGACAAATTGCAAAAATCGAGAGTTGTTTACTGAAAGCTTCTTCAACAGAAAAAGCAATCATTTATGCGCTTTTTTTTGTAGTTTTCAACGCAGAAACAGTTTTTTCCAATGGTTATTTTACCATTTGTAACGTGTACATAAAAGTGATTATGCAAAGAAGACAAACAAAAATAATAAAAGAGTTTAATTTCTTGTGTTTCAGATAAGCGTTTCTAATGTAGTTGCTATCTCAAAGAATAGTCAGAATTGGGAATGTCCCCTGCACCCTTAGACGACGGTGAAATAACCGTTGTTGATCATGAAAATCTAAACAATTCTTCGATGAGTTCAATTTTAAATCAAGATGCAGATAATAACAATACAGTTTTACTACTGAGTGGTGAAAATGCTTTAACGTTGGGACTAGGGTAAAAGTTTTGATTAAGAAGAAAACAATTTACTGTTTTTCAGAAAATTATATTGAATTTTGTTTCAGGCACTTATCGTTAGAATCGATGGAAAATGTTGATTTGGGTGACATAGACGAACTCGAAATACAATCTGAAAGTCAAGAGGCAGAAATATCTAGTCCTCTTCCGCTATCAACATCTTCAGCACCAGCAACGCCAACTGGAGAAAGGGGTCAAGTGCAGTTTCGTAATTTTAGCCAGGACAATAGGGGGAACAGTAAGGACTCGCAACAATTAGAAGTAAAATATTCATCAAACAAAGGCCTTCTAGACAGCTTTCTTGGATGTCTAAAACCGATATGGAACGTTTGGGGGAAAATTTACCAAGATAATTTGAAAACACCTACTACAGTAAAAGACCAATGGGAATATCCGTTAGATTCTATTGTGGAGCTCGTATTAATCGGAAATGGAATGGAAGGTCAAGTTTATCGTGGTAAATTAAACGACATGGAAATTGCCTGCAAGCGAGTCAGAACATTAGACGAAACAAAAATCCATCATTTGAAAAAATTGAATCATGTGAATGTTGTAAAATTCAAAGGTACGTGCATGACTGAACTCTTTTTCGGGCCTTCTTCTATCACTCTTCAGTTTCAAATGTCATTCTAGGCATCTGTGTATCCGCTCCTATGTTTTATATTCTGATGGAATACTGTCAGTACGGAACATTACATGATGTATTGAAACGACGACGAGAAAATTCTTGTACAAAACCAACACAAGTTCTTGATTGGTCAAAACAAATCTCATTAGGGATGAATTATTTACATGCGAATAAAATAATACACCGTGATTTGAAATCTCCAAATATACTTATTGGTGCCGGTGAAAAATTAAAAATATCTGATTTTGGGACATGTAAACAAATGTTAAATCGTCGTAGCCAAGTTATGTCTTTTAATGGAACCCACAGTTGGATGGCACCAGAAGTGATAAGACAGGAGCCATGTTCGGAAAAAGTGGATATTTGGTAAGAATTTATCATCTTCCGTTTCATTTTGATGTCTGCGTATATCTGTGATTCACAGGCAAAAAAATAAAGACATGTTTCCGAGGACGGTATTTTACTAGAGAGATTGAGATTGGTTAGTAATTCTTATGTTTAGTACAGATGTGTACATGATTAATGAATTGCTTAAAATGGGGCGTGTAGGGTGAAGCAGCAGAATTTGGGAAGTCGCATAGTCTAATGCAGTTTGCCAAATGCTCATCTTATTCATTCGTGTGATAATCTTAGTAAAACTGCTATCTTCTTATTAATACATAGGTCATTTGGTGTTGTTCTATGGGAAATTTTAACCTGTCAAATACCATATCACAATATAGATCCGTCCTCAGTTATGTTTGGTAAATATTTGTTGTTTTTTGAGAGGAAAAATAAGTAAAACATATAACTGATCTTTCTGTGCTTCTAGGAGTAGGCAAGGGTAGCTTAACCTTACCAATTCCGTCATCTGCACCTGAAGGTTTAAAATTATTAATGACAATGTGTTGGAATCAAACTCCACGCAATCGTCCATCGTTTCAACAAGTCTTGACACATTTAGATGTCAATACACCAGAAATTATTCTATTCGAGCAAGAGCAAGAATATCAGACATTAAAACACAATTGGTCGATTGAAATTAATGAAAAATTAAAACCATTACCGACAATCGACATGGCCAGCGTAATGAAATTATCACATGATCAAATACGACAAAAACGTGTCGAAGAATTACAGCATATTCAAGATATTCGTCACCATTATCATAAAAAACTACAGCAAACAAATACATTGTATCTTGAATTAACGACATTAATGGTACAACTGGAACAACGTGAAAATGAAATAATAAAAAAAGAACGTGTATTAAATATCAATAGTGGAAAACAAAAAAGATTAATTAGCCCATTGTTGAAATATCAGTATAAACTCTATCGAAGAGCGTCATCTTTACAAATGAAACTACCAAATACAATTAATAATGATAACGTTTGCAAAGTACATACAATTTCAAATCCATTGTTACAGCAACAGCAACAACTATCACGTCTACGTCATTCATCACAATCATCATCAACAAATAAACGAAATTCTTCTAGTCTAGGTAAGAAAAAAAATTTTAATTTGGTTTTTAAGACGAAAATTTGCACTGATACAAGAGAATTGAGTACAGTTAAATAGTGGAATATACCATAGTACGCCTTTCGATAAAAGCTCATCAAGATGGACTTTCTTACAGATAATTTAAAAGTATTTTTAGCCTGAAGACTTTTTGCTTTAATTATCACTTACATTTCACATGATGAATGTTTAGTTACGCAATCCATCTCCTTTCTCTTTTAGCAACAGATTCTCATGAAATTTCTAATAATTCACCCAAGACATCACAGAATCCTGTACCATCAAACACCACATTAACACAACAGCCATCGCAATGCTCTTCGTCGCCAACAGCATCCAAACCACGTGTGAGAAAAAGGACTAGTCACCAACGTAGTGGTAGCGGTTCTCAAAAATTTATATCAACAAGTGACAGCAACAAACAAACAAAATGCATTAACAGTACGTCAAATGTAGTAAATGAAACATCTCAAGGAACAATGAAACAAACTTCACTAAGTAAATCTTCAACAGATATGATGATGGCACCAATATCTCATAAGCGAACTGAATATTTTACTTCAGCAGTTAGCGTTCCATCTATATCGGCTGATATCGAGCTATCATTACTCACTGGCAACAGCACATCCAGTAACCAAAGACAACCATTATCTAGACGAGGGCTTACTCTTGAAATAGATAACCCAATCACAACCGATACTTTTTTATCCATGCACAAACGTTCATCTACAATATCAGCACCGATACCAACACTTTTTACCTATGGTCGAAAATCATCAAGCAGTGGAGGTGACGATTGTGAAGAAGTATATCCAGGTATCTTAAAGCAATCACGTCGTCAAACACGTTTAAGCAGTTGTAATAGTGGCACAAGTAGCACGAAAAATACATTATCAACAACGTCAACATTAAAAAATAGTCCTAAAAGCGGTGATCAAACAGATTATTCAACGCTATCACAAAAGCAAGATTATGACAACGAAACAGCTTTAAGTTTAGTGAACAGTGCAAATGGTGATGATGAAAATAACAACATTGGAGAGGATGAATTAAAAATTAGTGGAAATATACGAACCGAAATGAGAAGACAACGAAATATGACATTTTTATCATCTTCCTCAAAAACAACTGATCGAAGTCCGGTAACGACAAATAGTCAAATACGGAAAACATCTGGAACAAAAGTATGTTTGATGAATATTAATATTTCATGATCTGAATCATTTTTCTTTCTTTTTGCTTAGACTATGCGTTATAGTTCATCTGAAGAAGGAGAAGTTGAAGAGGTAACGAGTGATCATTTTGTGATGGACGATGAGAAACATCGACAAAAACATCAAGATTCAAATCGTGTTTCGGGTACCTTTTCATCAGAAATAGATGATAATGAATTATATCCAGAAAGTAATCGTTCATCAATCAAAAGCGAGGGTGTTGTCTCCGATGAAGGTGGTCATATCTCTGATGAGCGACCAGAATCACGTGAATCTTGTTTGAATCATACGAATGATGATGAATAGTTGAAAAAACAGGTGAAAGTAAATTGCTAAGTGGTTTACTAATTATCAACCGTTACTCACGTGTGATTGAGAAAGATGAGACTAGTTCATAATTTTATGTTTCTGTACTTTTCTCCGTTTTTTTATGAGTTTGTGGGAAATGGAAATTTTGCTGACTAGCTAGTTTTCAATTTTCTAGAAAATTTTCGTGACTTCTAGGAAAAAAAGATCTTTGCTATCTGTGCTTGGCCATTATTTTCTCTTTTTTTTTCTATTATATTTCCTTTCTGCTTTCTCTTTCAATCAAAATACAAACGTCCACTCTTCTATTATCTTTTATTTTATTGATTTGTGTAATTTACTGCTTCTTGTATGTTCATTTATTGTTCACAGTTTAAATATACACGCTCGCTCATTTGGTTTGCTAATTTCCTTCTGAGTGATATTCTCCTCTGTTTGTATTTTACGTACGCAATTCATTTTTCCAGTATTCATCGTTTTATTTTATTGTAAAACTCAACTCTATATCTGAATATTATAAAACGAAACGCTGATTTTTCAGCGTACATAAATGCTAAACTTCTATTGTATTCTATTTTCCATCTTTTTTTTTCTATTACGTATATCTGCAGTGTAAAAAGAAAAATGTCAAAAGAAATATATAATCAGTGATTTGTTGTTGTTTTGCATTCTTCATCTACCTACATCTAAACACGAAACTTGTGTGTATGTTTTTGCTAAGTTATACGTCTTTTTATGTTAAAAGATCTAAAAAGTTCAGATTTCATTCTGAAATAAAAATGTAAAACGTTTCATTCAAAAGACCCATGCGTTAGATATAAAAAATATTTACCATGTACGATTCAATCTGCTCTATGTTCTGGTAATATATGAATTTGTATTCATCTCACTGAATGGTGTTAGAATTTTGTATTAGTCAAAATGGGTGTCAGATTGATGATTGGCATAAAAATCATCAACAATAACCAAGTATTCTGCGAGGTAAAAAAGTGGAGACAGTTGCGATATGTTTGTCGTTAAAGATTAGCTATCATATATATATTGAAATGTCTCTCTGTTTTTTTGAAATATAGTCTCTTTTTTCCCCCGTAAACCTATCAGTTATAAACTTTAATTCCGTGTATGTATGTATATATATAGCCAACATGTGTTTCCATCTTGAACGACAGTACATTTTGTTGTTGCTATTTTTTTATTCTTTTGTTTTCTTTACTTCTTTTCTTGTTTACTTTTTACCTAGCAAACTTGTGCTGCTTTTGTGTTTTCTTCCTGTCATTTTTAGTCTAATATTCTATTCTATTTTTTTGTTCTTTTTCATCGTTCTTTTTGAAGAAAAACGATACTAAAACACAGGCGTTCTAACGCAAAAATTGCAAAGGTATAGAGAGCAGCGTCGAATCACATCAGCTCCTGTAGAATACTAATTGCTCTCTTCTGAGTCTGGGGGCCGTATCATAAAACAATTCAAGTCAAAATTAAGTCTTCGTTATGTGCACTTACGTACTAATTTTATACACTTAAATTTGACTTAAGTCTAGACTTTGACTTTGAAGTTTTTTCGGGATACGGCCCCCAGATGTGACAGATGAAGCCTAGTTCTATCAATTAGATTGCATTCCGTAAACAAAAACTGGAACTATTTTGCAGCAATCATTAGACTTAACCTGTTTTCGGGATCAAGGTTTTTCAGTCCCGATTTCAGAAAAATTTTTCGGTTCATCATCTGTATAACATGCTTGGGGTTGGACTTTTGTTTGAATTTTTGTTGACAATAACGTTGTCTCATTTTGATTTTCTTGGATTCGATTACACCTACTGTGATGTATATTGAATTGCCAGTTCCCGTCCCGTGATACGGATGGAATTATTTGGATTCCTTGTACTTACTATGATGTTGGATTGACAGTAAGCCAGCTAGTGCACTAATGTTAGAGTCCGTTCTTTCTTATGCATAAGACCATCCTTTATTGATAAACAAAAAGTTTTTTTTTACAATAAAACTCGATCTATTTATACGCGCAATAATCTTGACTATACTCTACGCAATAACCTTAAATATTCTTGCACCATAGCCTTGAACATTCTTGCGCAATAACCTTGACCACAGTCTTGTACTATAGTCTTGCATATATTCTTGCGCAATAACCTTGAGTATGATCTTCTCCCTTATGGCACGACTCTAGTACGTGACATAACACGTCCCCGTTTCGAAAAACTTTTACTCGTAAAACACGAAAAAAAAACACTCCGTTAATGCCGAAAAGTTCAGAAGCCCGTGCAGTGTGGGCTGCGTTTGATGCGGAGCGACCTCTATTATCTGTGTATTTGGAATGAAACTCGTTGTGCTTTTAAAACCTAAAATTGAGATTTTGGTGTTTTAATACAGTTTGCATGACACAATAAACGGAATAGATAAAAAGATCAATGTCTAGAAAAGAATTGTCAGACTTCTTGGTTTACTAAAAAATTAATATTTAAGTATGAAGCAAAGATAAATTTCTAGCTGTTCTCACGAAATTTTACAAAAAAGAACCTTGATTCCAGTCCTGGTCTCGATCCCGAGAGGATCAGGACGGTCCCGCCTATGTCTAATGGTTCATCTGGTACAAAACAAGACCAATGTATCAAACACATACTTCAAAGAAATTAACTACTAAAAATCTAATTATCTGCAACATGTTTAACAGAGGTGGGTCGGTTCCGTATAAACTTTTTAAAAATCTAGAAAATTCTGTATGCGTTGGTTGTAGATCTGGTCTCACACGTGTGTGATCTCTAATACAGAACTAATCATTTCATACGAAACAGCATGCATCGTATACATTAGAGCAAGACGTATGAGATACATTACACGTTACTTAACAAAACATCTGTGTTTCTACAAACTATCGTATTTTACCCATAAAAATATCAGAGAATGCCAGAAGTCATGGTTGTTTGGTATGTCATTTTATTTGAGCAGAAAAACTCATATTGGATGTCTGGAAGACAACTATACTAAATCGTCCCATAGCAGTTAGTTTTTTGCCAGCTATGTAAATATGCTCTAAAGCAGAGCTTGAATCTACTAAAGTCCCGTCGCTTACTAACAGAATTGAATTTTGACCTTCATCAGTTTCAGAACCGGTGCTTGGATATTCGAGAAAAATGTTATAACTCAGTTATTAAGAGTCGCTCAGAGTTGTGGAACATCTCATTTTCTAGAGAAATATTCGCACTACAAAGCTTATTGTTCAGAATTTTTTTTTTAAACTAATTGTTATGGAAAGACAGGAAATCCTCTTTATGACACTAGATCGAAAGTAGATCTGTAAATAACGATGTGAGTGGTTCAGATAGTCATGGTTCCATAATAATTCAAATAATATATTAAACAAGAAAAATCATCCGTGAAATTAAATATTATTTTACTGATGTGAATACGATACATGATGAATTTTAAAAAATATAGTCGACAATAAAAAATATAATACATTTACATATAATCGAAAAATAAGAGAAGAATTAATACCGTAATCAACAATAACGGTGTTTAATCGTCTGAAAGGTTTTAAGATCATCGTCTACGTTTGATAATTTTCTTATTTTTTTTTGAAAGCACGATTCAGCTAATAATGTTCAAGTTCATTGACAGTTTAATAGAAAATAATCGAATAGAACTTGTATTTGCTGTATTTCTTACAGAAAATGATGTCATTATATTTGTTCTGCTGTGAAAACAAACACTGCCAATATTTGATAACAGTTCCAGAAGCGGCTACAAAAAGTCTTTGGCTCCGTTTTTGACTGTTCATTGCTTCGATTAATGAATGAATTACATCGATATAGAAAATTTTGCGGCTTTTGACTTCGATTATTAAGGCAACATTTTCTCATTTACGAATCGATAGGAAATGCCGTTCCTACTGGTACTGTAGAATCATAACCCGTCCAAAAATAAGAAAACTACCAGCTTCATTGTTTACATTGAATGATAATTCTATTGAGAATTTATGTGCTACATCAATGAATATAAACGGTAATAATAAATGAAATAATATTGAATCAGCTATTGACAAATACTTTCTTATAACCGAATACATCATCAAAACTGAAGATTTTTAAATTCTCTTGATCAAACCACATCGTTATCGATTACTCATAAAAGAGTCGCTTTTAATTATTGCCACAACACCAATTCTTAATAGCATGAACAAATCGTTACTTTTAGATGTTTTTATCATCAATGGAAGGTAATAGTGTATAACAACAAATAATTTGAAAATGAATACATCTTACTGCTATGAACTTTATATAATTTATCGTGTTGTTGATGGTCATGTAGGTCCAAAACTGTTGGATGCTTTCGTGTTTATATTGTACAGTGCTCGACAAAGACGATTATATCTGCTAATGATATTGAATATATTTTGTCAACGTTAAAAAAACAGAGATAATTAATTTAAATGCAATAATCTCAACAAGTCACTTGAATACTTACTGGAGAAGTGCAACATTTTCTTGTACAATAGTCAAATTATCTTATCTAGAGAGTTATGTCGATATTTGATTTAAATCTTTCATCTCAGTTAGAGAAGATTTTTTATGTTTCATGACTTTATTTTTTATCAACTGCTTTTAAATTTAGATCTATTCTTGTTTTGAAGAAAAAAGTCTCCACAAATAGTTTGTTGTTGTCGTCTAGGAACCCTTAAGAATTCGGGTATTTCAAAAGAACGAATATTTGTAACACGACTACCATACCGACCGAATTTTAGATGAATAAAAATATATAAAATGCTAGAGAAAAATCTAAGTGTTGTAACAACCGAAAAAACATGAGAATAAATTCAAAAAAAATTTTGCTATTATTTCTTATCAACAACGAATATCGATATGTACGAGAATAAAACGACTAACAACAACTAATAGAAATATGATAATTGTTGAAGCGCGTAAATCTATTCAACAATTGTTATTATTATTAATTAAGAAGGTGTTATATTAGTAAAAAGTTTTTCTTTTAAAAAAATAAAAATATTTTATTTTCATCTTTTGTTAAAGAAAACAACAGTGAAATAGAAATCAATATTTTGAATACACAAAAATAGTCAGATTTAATTTACAAACATAGTCGATTTATGGACAAAATTCGTATATGTGTCATTTTTATATAAAAATAATAATTTTTTTCATTGTCTAATTCTTCATGCAAGTAGAAATAGAAACTGGTGTCAATTATTTTGTTGGCTTATTAATTGAATACGGTGAAGGTTTAACACAGCAAAATTTAGAACAATTTAAAAATTCTCTTATCAATATTCTCTCATCACGATATATTAATCATTGGTATCCACAATATCCACATCGTGGTGAAGCTTATCGTTGTTTGACTGTGAATACAAATCTTGATCCAACATTATTTCGTGCTTGTCAAGAGGCTAATATTGAGCCAGAGCTATTGAAATGTTGTTTACCAAAAAAACTCTTTCTTTGGATTGATCCTGGCCATGTATCGTGTCGTGTAGGCAATGAACGATGTCCAATTCGTGATTTATATCGATGTTATACAAAAGAGTATCAACAACAGTTACATCATGAAGAAAAACGATATAATTACTATCAGCATCCATCATCCAATTCATCGTTGTCATTATCAATAAATAATAACAATAAAGAAAACAAAGAAAATCATTATAAAATCTTGACTTTATCTTCGAATAAAAAATCGTACGCTGCTGCTGTAGAAGGAATAGAAAATTCAAATGTACCATCAGTATTATCTATTACAACTAGAAATTCAAATAACAACAACAATCCAATCATAATTCAATCTGAATCCAATTATCCTGTTACATCATCGATTAGATTAACAGCAGAAAACAATTTTCATAGTTATTCATCAATGAAAAATAATCATCTCAAGTATAAAACATCGACACGTCTAAATTTACCGATACCAATAACCATGTCATCGGTAGGAAATATTAATTTTTATCGACAACAGCAACATCAACATCAACAAACTCACATTCAGCAAAGTTTTGCCATTAAGCAACCTATAAGAACTATTCAACAATCATACCATCAAGATCAGTTTCTAGTCGATCATGAGAATAATTACTGTATGCAGGTAATTAAACAATTTTTAACGTTTTATGTTCAAAAGAAAAGAAATTTCATTAATAAAATATATCCAATTGTTGATTATTATTTCTTCAGTAATCTGGGAAATGTTTTTCATACAAATGCTCAAGGTCAATTAGCTTTGGTCAATTTGATTCAGTATTTGATTTATCAATCTTTTTCATTCAATAACTTCTAGGTGTATAAAATGACATATTAAAGTTTGTCTATTTGTATAGGATGACAATTTGAACAAGCTGTTCATGAAAAATATTTCTTATATTCTCCCTAATCCACAATACCAGCCACATCATCAGCTTTCAACATACATGTTTCATCCACATCCATCTACAATGCATTTGACTCGCACTTCTCTTCATCAACAAGTGTCGAACAACACAGGTTGTTATTCTACAATTCCCACCAACACTCAATTTATGCGTAATATTCATCCATATTACCCAAATACATCATTAACAAATAAATCACCGTCGACAATTACATGGAGTGATCATACACGATCATTTCTTAGCTCAACAGCACATACTTCACCATCTTTTCCATCATATCCAATATCCTTTCAACAACAACAACAACAGCAACGACAAATATATTGCAGACATCAAACTGCTTGGTAAAAGTGGTTTTTCTCTCTTTTTTTTAATGTTTAAATTCGCACTATCTAATTTTTCAGTGTAAATTAACTTAATATTAAAATTTGTATTATTCTCTATTGTATATGCACTAATGTAACGTATATCCTGGTAAATTTCATCGTTATGTTTCTTTATTCTCATATTATTAATCACATTTTCTATTATAGAAGTTTCAGAAAAAAAATGAAATAAACAGGTCATATTAAAAAAGTAAAATATTCAGGCACATATATCTTTAGATTTATTAAAAGATTTTGTTATCTGGTATAAGAATAATTATTTTGTACTTGTGAACTTGCCATTCTTCTAAGAAAACAATTTCATGTAGATATGAGTTATCTTACTTATATAGCAGAAGTTGTTGATAACCCTTTAAGTCTCATAGTATAAAAAAAGCTACACCTGTTTTATAATTATTTTTCACAAGATAATTTATAAAAATTAGTACGTAATCTCTTGGAATGAAGTAATGGAGAATTAGCTAATTAATATGCACTTATGTGGCATTATCGGTAAAATAAACTGGCAGAAAACGATTTTATTAAATCAGATATATTTAACTTATCTAAGAATCATATAAGTCTTCATTTCCATTCTTTTCTTAAGGGTTCGAACTATCATTTACATCCCATTATATTTGCTGAAGTGTCGGCTTCAAAAGTATAACTCGCTTTTTTTCAAATTTTGTTTCGTTGCTGAGAAAATTCATTTTTTCTAAATCAGTTCTTCCCGTAGTTTTCAATTTTCTCGATCAGAACTCAACTTCTATGTAATAAAAATATCATATTTAGAATCGGGATCAAAAACTCAGTCGACTGATCTGTATTTCGAAATTTTTAGCTGATTTCAGTTGTGGGTGAAAATCTTGATGATTTTTCAACGTGAAAATTCGGAAAAAATTAAAGTACTTGAATAGGATAGGGATACACATGAGTCGATTCATTTTTTCATCCTGATTCCGAATATGATATTTTTATTGCATAAAAGTTGAGTTCTGATGGAGAAAATTGATAATTACGAATTAGATTCAATCCAGCAAAAATAATTTGGGACTCAAAGGGTAAACAATGATAACATTTTTTTTGTATTTGCCATTTTGATACTGTTAAGGAAGTATTTTTTAAATTTCACAATAATAGAGAAGCAGTTTTTGCTACACATTATAATCTAAACATGTTTATTGTGCTAGCCAAAAAACTACAATGAATTGGTATCAAACAGTTTGTTAATAAATTACATTTTAATTTCTCAATTTTGTTAAGAAATTTTTTTTACTACACAAACACAACGTGTTTTGGTTTTATTAAAACATTAAAAACATTAGTAATACATACGGACACAGAATTCATTCTATTATACTAAAAAAAGCAAAGAAAAAGCAAAACAAACAAAAGAGAGTAATAAACTATTTACAAATCAGTTGTTGTCAAAGATGTACTAGCAGTAATCATTCGTTTTTTAACAATTAAATTCTTCTCATCATTCTCATCTAATTTATGCTTCTTGCTACAAGATAAAAATGTTTTCATTCGTACTATACATTTGGCTACATCTGATTTTCTCAACAAATTATATAACTGCAATGTTATTAAATGTAAATAAAAATTTTTTATCAAATTTTTTTCTATTATTTCATTTCCATGATTTCGTACAAATAATTCGCATGCAAGTGTCATTTGACTATCAGCAATAAAACTAGAATATAAAAGAGATGAGTATTTTCATTATAAATAGTATTCAAACATACTTGTATTTCATAATATGATTATTCCATATAATCATCATTTCTTTTTCACCATCATTCACATCTTGAAAATCTTCTATTAAACGTCGAGTCAATTGCTTTGTCCATTCTGGATATAAATCATCGTCACTATCATTTTCAATATGTTCTGGTTCAACTTTTAATGCTCCAGTTGTATGACGATAACAGCGTGTTAAATTCGGACGACGAAAAATATAATTAGTATCAGCAAATAGTGAACGACGATTACATGCCGGTCTAAAAGTCGATTAAAGAAAGTCAAATTTTAATAAAAAAATAACAACAACAAAATATGAATTTTTACCTCCACAGAATAAGTTCTGTCAAACATCGACGTCGTTGTGGTCGATCATTATCATGTTTATATCCATCGTAGGTGTCAAATGAACCATCATATGAACGATTGAGACGGATTTCAAATGTAGGACCATCAGTCATGTTCTATAAGTAAAAAATTCAAAAAATATATACAAACATTTTTATTCAACTTGTAAACTAAATTATATTCTCTATTCTTACTTTGAAGGTTGCTGAAAATCTAGGATGACAGAAAAATAAATGATGTTTTAACACGTGCATATCATTATCAATTGTTAAAAATTGACAAAAACAACATTGACCAAATTTAGCCGCATAACTTTGTTGTACAAGTTGTTTACCAAAATAAAAAAGATAAAATAATTGTTCATCATTGTTTTCATTCGATGTTATTGTTGTTGTCATTTTCATCAAAGATGATAGTAATACTAGTTTTGTTGTTTCTTTCTTTTGAATGTTTTTATCTAAAGAAAATAAATAAAACATTATTTATATAAAGAAAAAGAAAAAAATATTCACTTTTTTTCTTTGGTTGTTTACTATTTTGTGTTGTACAACGTTTTGGTCTCAATTTTGATTCACTATAGCCTTGTAATGGTATTGACGGCATTAAACTTCTTGCCGATGAAAATCGTGATCGGGAACGACCGATTGTTTCAACAAACTCATAATTAATTTTAAAATAGAGTTTTAACGATGATGGTTCTGATATCTAGAAAATAAAATAAACGAATATAAGTTCCGTTCACTTTTTCATCTACACACTAGTTACATCATTCTCAGTATTTGGTAATGATATTTCAATTTTATGCGGTATTTTGCTCGATGAATCTGAATTCAATAATAAATCTGAATTTAATAAGGAATCTAATTGAACGAATTTTTCGTACGAAGTTGATATATATTCACCATTATCTACAGAAGAAGAAAGTCTCAAATTTTAGTTTATAGAAATTTGATCAGTAGTAATATACCATATCCGACAACAGTACTTGAGAATATAAAGTTATATTTGCATTTAGACGAAATATTAATTGAGATTGTTGGTTCTTCAATAGATTTTTTATTTTGATTTAAACGATTTGTATTAATTGATTTAATTTTACCAACACTGATTATTTTTGATCCTTTTTTAAGTAATGACAATGTTGTGACAGATGGACAATGACCGAAAGAAGAAATCGGCTGTTGTGGATGATTTTCATCACATGTAGCTAATAATTCGAATGAGACATCACGTTTAGCACTTGAATAAAGCAAAGAATCTATTATAGAAAGAATAGCAAAGATAATACTTTAGTGTCAGGAAAATTTATAAAATAATCCACCTTCATCGTATGCCCATGAATGTAAATGTAAATTGAATGATTTATTTGATAATGATGATGATGATGTTGGTAGTGACTGATTCCTAGTTGACAAATGATCAATTAATTCATTCAAATTCAAAAATGGTCGTTTTCTATAAAATAAAATTAAAAAAAGACACATAATAAGCTAAACTTACAAAAGAGTCAAAAACTTACTTTGATGAGTTTTTTCTAGCCATATGAACATATTTCAAATTTCGGTGTAGAAAATAGGGCTGAACAAAAACAACATGATAAATTTAGTCGAAATAATACTGTTGTAAAATACTTACGTTGACGCGCCAGCGCATTTCTAATGTTTTATAAATTATCATATGCTCTATGATAAATAGATAAATAAGTTAAAATTCTGTTAAATGAAAATACAAATTAATAGAGTGAATTTTGATAACTTCTTGCGTTTTATCAAACGAAATCGCGCACATGTATACCCGCCCTTAGATTCTTCTTTTTCTGTGACATCAATTAATATAATCAGTCGTGAAAACGCTAAAATGATAATGAACTTACTGCTTAATGTTGCAACATCAGCAGCACAATTAGACATTATTGATGATTCAAATGTTTATAGACACACTTTGGTGATCACAGATATGACAACATAAAAGGCAATATATTACATGTGACTATCTGACAAGCAAGATAATATCAATCTGAAACAATCAGAGACATTCATCAGCAACAGATTACGACCACGTGGTTAAAATTACCAGAAATAATTTTTGCGATTTACAAATTAGTAGCACTCATCACTGCCTTCTAAACCAACTGTTGAATGGAAAACAAAATTGTACGTATATTTAAAAATAGTACAAGTATAAAGAACTTAAAAAGATAAAAGTAACAACAATCTTCGATGAAAATAGCCTATAAAATGAGAAAAACACACACACACACAACTAAACAGCTGAAAGAAGTTTTGAGCTATTGTGTTATTAATCTAATGGTAACTGAGGTCGGTCCGACAAATCCGTAAAATTTCACGCATCGAGAATTTCCAAATTTACAGTGGATAAATAAGGTAAATAGCCTACAGCTAAATCAATATATATCCATTCGTACGTAGTTGGTTACGTAGTTTATTAATAATAAGCAAAATCTTTTATCAAACGATTCCAGTTTGATTTTAATATACTCGAACTATCCTTCTCTTATGTAAATTTTGATTTCTGGTATATTTAATTCATTCGAGGCATTGAACGCGTCATAACATCAGGTAATTTGCGTCGTTTTTCTTTTGCTCAGTAACATATTTTTCACATGATTTAATCATGTTGATTTACAAATATTCAGTATACCATAAACAATAATTTGGTGTTCGGAATCCGGTTCAACTTCTACATAAAACGTCGTACTTTTATAGTTTGTTCAATTAAAATAGCAAGCAATGCGCTCAATTCTAGCGCAACTTTACTTTGTAATGATGTTCTGTGATGGCCTTGTTTCACGTAATGAATGGATTTTTGATGATATCATTTATATACAACAGATATGGTTATGGGTGTCATTTAAATGCTGATAAAGAGGTGGATTCGAACTGCTGTGTAACTAAACTACATCATCAACTGTAATCAGATGCCGTTTCAGAAATCCGCATGCCTTGCGTTTTATGATCATAAAACCATTTCATCATATCTTTTCATTGAAATGGCTGTAAATCAACTGTCTGGCACAAGGATATAAGTTTTGATGCCATTCACCTCTATTAGAATTATAAGTCGCTCGATTCAATCATTAATATAGAATTGATTTGAAATACAAGCGTCCTTCAAAAACAAAATAATCCGATGGCTGACACAGACGTCGACATTTTATTAGAGGAAAGCTGATGCGCCCCGCTTTTCCATAAATCTGAGAAGAGTACACGAGAAACTCATTTTGATTTAGAAATTTCCTTCGTACAGCCCAAAATTTTCACAGAAGAACTCTCTCTGATTCGTAGTGGACTGAGCCCTATAATACGCATAGATCTGTCACTGAGGAATCTTCGTTTCTTGGTAACATAACATGTGGAGTTGTTTTATTTGTTTGTTTCGTTTCGTTGCAAAAGAAGTTACCTGCAGCAGGTAACTTCTTACAACGGTTTCTTTTGCTTTCTGAAGTGGACTCTCTTGAGAGATCAATAAAAGAGCCAATCAAATCGAAGGAATGTCTCCAAAAAGGCCAAGGTAAGTGGTATTAAAAATGAGTCACTAGCTGCCATGTGAGGAATATTGATTGCAGCTATTCGTTTATCTTGCCTCTTCAAAACCTATTAGCGCTTAACCTGTTGGTCCCTAACTCGACAAATTATATGAATTGGCATGGAAGGAAGAAAAATAACTATTGATGTGGTGTAGAGTTGGGATGTGCCAATTAAAGCCTGAAAGTCATAGTCTAGTCTATTAGATGGGCTCGTAATGCGATCGTTGCCGCTGTCTTCATATCTTAGTAATAAGAGGATCGAATCGAGAATGATGTCAAACATTCGCCTGAAGTACGGTCGCAACATAACAGTACGACGAATAACTTCACCCTCCTATTTCTATCCTTTCCATTCAGTGAATATCTTGATTATTTGTACAAATGCAGTGCATAGTTAAAAAGATGTCAGTGTGATTTATTTTTATTTAATAAGCGTTAGAAAACCTATGTTGATATGAACTAATAGTCAAATTTTATAAATAGATGTAGTATGTTCCTACTGTATAACGATCTATCGCTATTTACAATTATTTATCCTTTTTCGATTTTTCGTTTTTGCCCAACAGATGTCGGATGTTTTTTTCTTTCATAGGAAATGAAACGAAATAAATGATAATTGGAGTGAAGCTGAAAACTTAGAAGGATAAAACTACAGCTCTGCGGCAATGAAAAAAAGTCTCGTTTAATCATTGGAAAAAATTTGTGATTTTTCTCTTTGTCCACTTTGACAATCACGACAGAGTAGAAATCATACTAGAAGGAGTTTTCATTATAAACGTTGTTGCTTGAGCCTCCTTGCACACACGAAAAATGTACTCGCACAACTACAAGTAATTTGCCAAGGCACATTACTTGTCGGCCGCGAGGTTCGAACATAGTGCTTTTCAAGTACAATGAAAAAAACAACCTGAATTAATGGCATTAAATTCTCAAAGTACTACAGAAGATGTTTCATCGATTCAATTTACGTGTAGGCTTACGTTAGATCAACAGTTATTTTATAGTACCGTGCCATTTTCCCATGTAATTTAGTCAAAGTTTTGGAAAATTTATGGTTTATGTCCATACTTAAGATATATGGTGAAACAACTCTTAGAACCTGCTACTCGATAGTCATCAAAAATAGTCTTGAATTGACATGCGGCACGTATCTTTTGAAAAGACAGCTAAGAAAAAAATATACAAAATAGAGTGAAAAACGGAACAGAAAAGAAAACATTGAATTGAATTTAGTGTGCAAGATCAAGATAATATATTTTTCTAGGATAAAGGAGGAGTGATGGCCGATTCGTTTTGATCTGAAAATAATCTTCTTAGAATATGATTCAGATCAATCGCCTTTAGAGTCTCTGTATTCAGATGTTTCAAATATTTTATACTTTTATTAATATTTTAGTTACCAAAGCACTCTGCAATTAGTTTTATACTTATGCATGTTAAATTTGTTATTTTTTAGATTTTGTATGAAATTATTTCAAAATGCGAGATGAAGCCCGTACATCGAATTCCAATGTTGAAGGTTTAAAACTTTCTGAACAGGTTGTTAAAACATTCCGTGCTGCTAGAGTATTTCATGAGAACGCTGATCGTGTAAATGCAATTGATTTTTCAACGAATGGTGAAACATTGATAACAAGCAGTGATGATGAATCGATTGTTATCTATGATTGTCAACAAGGAAGGTAGGAGATTAAAAAGTTTTTCATTAATATGTTTAACAATACAAACTTTTTCGTATGTTTTTCTAGCTCAAAAAAGACACTTAATAGTAAAAAGTATGGCGTTGACTTGATTCGATTTACTGTAAGTAAATCTAAAGTTATTTTCAGAAAAATATTTTGTAAAATCATTATTGTTTTCAGCATTCAACCAACACAGTTATTCACAGTTCGACAAAGATAGATGGTAATAATTGTCAATTTTCTATAACCGTAGCAAGTATTTTTACTTATTTTAGATACTATTCGTTATTTATCATTACATGATAACAAATATCTAAGATATTTTCCTGGACATGTGAAAAAGTAAAAAGATTTTATTTCCTATTCATACAAAAAACATAATATTTTTCTTTTATCATTATAGAGTTGTTACATTGTGTATGTCACCTGTTGATGATATCTTTTTGTCTGGTTCATTAGATAATACAATAAGACTATGGGATTTGAAATCAGCAAATTGTGCCGTACGTTAATCTTTGTATTGTTTAGTGCCATAGAATTAATATATAATATGTTTTAATTTACAGGGTCTCATGCATTTAACCGGACGGCCTGTCGCCAATTTTGATCCTGAAGGTTTAATATTTGCTGCTGGAATCAATTCTGAAATGATCAAATTATATGATTTACGATCATTTGATAAGGTAAAGTCGAAAATTTGTTTTTATCATTAATAAGTTAACATTTGTTTATGGAATATTTAGGGACCATTTTCAACATTTCAATTAGTTAAAGAAAAAGATTGTGAATGGACAAATTTGAAATTTAGTGCTGATGGTAAAATGATCATGTTATCAACGAATGGAACACTAATTCGTCTTTTGGATGCATTTACTGGACAAATAAAACATACATTAACGGTTTGTAACAAACAGATTAATTTCTGAATTTTATTCTATCAGACAGAATGTTTGTTTTTCTCATTAATATAATGTTTTTTAATTGTTTTAATTTATTCTAGGGATTTGCAAATAAAAATTATTCGATCGAAGCATCATTTAGTCCTGATGCACAATTTGTTTTCAGTGGTATGTTTTCAGTAGTCAATCTTTAGTTTGTGATGTTTATGATCTAAACGAGCATTAAGTTACAGTGATATATAATATTTTTTTGGTTATATTCAGGTTCGAGCGATGGTAAACTTCACTGTTGGAATGCCGAAACGGGCAATCGCGTTGCTGTTTTCAACGCTGAGCATGGATGTGTTCAGTGCATTCAGTTTAATCCAAAATTTATGTTATTGGCTAGTGCTTGTAATCATCTGGTACGTTTTCTTATTCAGTTTGTTCTGTTTTCTTATGAATGTTTCTTGTGATTGTTTCCATTTATTTAGATATTTTGGCTACCGCACTTGGATTATGATATGCAATGAAATCTTTTTTCATTCCTGCAAATTTTATATACATGTTATTCATTTTTTTCGTTTAAAAACTAGTTTTGACTTGAATCAAGTCTTAATTAAAACTTTCTCGTTCGACAAATGTTTCTTGCTCTGTGTTTCTTTCGTGTAATAATACTGTTGTTTTTTGTCTTCATTAAATGTGCATTATTTTCGTGTTTAATATAAAAAATTTATCCTTCTCTTAATACAATAACCGTTAAAAGTAGTCCGATTTTGGTTCTTTCAAACCATAGTAAGATGCACCCAGGGCAGCCTTGCAGTGAAATTTATTTTTCGACACTTCATACACCATTCGATAGAGAATTTCGCGGTGATCACGAATATCACTTCCAAGGCTCTCAGAACCCTTTCCTCACTG